CAAATGGTGTCCTCCAGCCTGGGCCCCTCATTCTCTGCAGAAGGGGTCGAGGTCCCCGGAAGGCCCCCGTGAGGCAGGGTGCGGCTGGAGCATCACCTGGGTGTCCAGAGGCTGGGCCACCCTCTGCCCAGGCCCTTCCCAGGCTGCTCTGCCCTCTCCAGCCCCAACACAACTAGACACACACTCACCAGCACACTCAGGATACACTCAGGAGGGATGTGTCTCACCAAGAAACTTCACGGATCCTGCTGGCCCCAGCACAGCAGCCAGACTACTCTCCCAGTCTCAGAGGAGATGCGGAGCGCCAGCCAGGCCAGCAGAGCACTCGGGGGCGGGACCCTCCACGTGGCCAGGCCCAGTCTGAGGAGTGTGGGGCTGGGACCTGAGTCCGTCCCCAGGTCCTGGCCCTCTGAGGGTCTCCACCTCTGACCACCAGGTCCTGCGAAGAATGCGTGAGTGGAACTTTCCTGAACACTGAAGCATCGAGCAAAAGGTCCTGCGATGACTGGCCTGGCAGGGCTCAGGGAAGCAAGTAGCACAGAGTCCATGCAGCAAAGAGCCCGAAAGATAATGACCTCAACAGCCACTGTCCCCCGAGAGCTGGTGGTGAGGTTGTTTCTGCACTTGGGGAAACTGAGGCTCAGGGGAGCCTGGCCATCATCACATAGTTCATAGTTGATGAGGCCAGGGTTCACGTTCAGGTCTGCTGATTCCCAAGTCTGTGATCCTCACTGTGGTGTCAAGGACAAAATGATGGCTGTCCCTGGGACAGATCTCAAAGGCTCCCGCACCTCGCCAGCAGACACACCGCCCGCTCTACCCCAGGCACCAACACCCGACAACTCTCTTCTCCCAGTACAACGCTCATTCATTCGTTCCTCTTGCCAGCCCATCATGGGAAATTCAAAAACCATTTATGGAGCACATACTATGTGCTCAGAATGGCGCTAGGCACCGGGGGGCTGGAGGCGACCATCAGATGCCATTCCTGCCCTCAGGTAGCTTCCAGACAGTGGTGCTCAGGATGAGGGGTGACCACACCCAAGGAGTCTTGGGTCTCCCTGCCGGTCCCGGGGACCTGGGCAATGGGACCAGAACGTGTCCCGGAGCTGTGTCCCAGCCCTGCCCTCCCTCTCCTGTGCCTTGGGCAAGTATCTAAGGGCGCAGGCCACCCCTGAATGAGTTTATTAACTTCATAGACGGCACCTGGTCTGCAGACAGGAGACTTGAAATGACATTTACTTCTGAGCAGGGGACACTGGGTGCCGGCTGGGCAGGGTTTGGCACGCACTCGGTTACTGATCGACAGGCCTTCCAGAAAAGAAATGCCACCAGAGAATCTCCACCTGGCTCTGGGCCTTGCTGGCCTCGTCTCTGCTTTGTCTCGTGTGTCTTTTCTCTGCCTTCTTCACTGGCCGGGCAGACCCTCTGCTTTCCTAGGAGGCGGAAGCAGGTGTGTGTTTGTGAGCGTGTGGCCCCAGCTGTTCTGTTAGCGCAGTTATCCCGAGGCCGGGAGGGAACCAAGGGGTGAGTTACATCGATCCCTCTCACCTCTGCCTCCTACAAAGTCACAGCCCCTTGATGCCTAAGATGAAACTTAGAATTTTTATCTCATATGTGTTTTTCCCACAGCCAAGTCCCAGAGACAGACAAGGACCTTCCCAAGGTCACACAGCGGGCCCGGGACAAAGCTTCCAGTAAAGCTGGTTCTCTCTTCCCCCGGAGTGGTCTGTGTTGAGCCACAGTAGATGTTTTGGGACCACAAACTTCTGCCCTAGCTCAGAGCTTCTCCTTCTTCTCCCTCCCTCCTGCGGTGTGCCCCTGGGGGAGTCCCTCTGGGTAATACCACAGAAGCCCTTGGGGAGGCCACATTGAGAATTTCTTGAAAAGGAACTATGTCTGGAGATGCAACGACAAACAGCACCCGGCAGCACCTGTGGGCCTCCTGGGGTTGCGGGGGGGGGGGGCTGTGGGCTCCACTCAGGCTCAGAGCAGGGAGGAAGATGAATCAGGGTCCCCAGTCTGGGATGTTCCTCTGCAGCCAGAGCCCCAGTCTGTGCAGAGGTTTCTTTCCTAGGCTGGGGCCATGGGCACCTAACCGGCTCTCTTTGCTCAGCCTGGTCTCAGTGCTGCCCTCTAATGGCCCTGGCCATGGCTGCTGTGGCCCTGACTGAATTCAGGCCTGATCCACCTTCCCGCTCCAACAGTCCGTGGAGTGGCCACGGCGCGCGCCTCTGTTCTCTCTGCCCCAGCCAGGCACCATCAGGTGGCTGATGAAGGATGGGTCTGTGGTGAGGAGCAAGTCACCCAGCCAACCACCAGAGGCCACAGCTGACCCGCAGTCAGAGCTTGGTGTCCTGGGGTTGTGTGTGGATCAACAGGGAGGTTCTGTCTCCCCAGAAGCTGCCCATACCCCAGAGTGAGGAGGAGGAGAACTTAGGGAGTGACTCAGTGCACCCCTCTGCCCAGGAGCCCACTCTTTTTGCTAGAGTTAGGACCAGCAGAGCTACTCCAGGTGAGTTTTTTGGGGCACCCCTTCCCTGCTCAGTTGAGAAGGGGCCGGGGTTGCTGCAGTAGGGACCCTGAGGCCAGAGCATTTAGAAAAATCAGAGGCCCGTGCCAGGGGCACCTCACTCTGGACAGGAGATCAGCCCCAATCCCAACTCCGGTTCCTCTGATGGGGAAACCAAGTCTAAGCAGGAGAGGGCCCTCTCCTGCTGGCCAGACCAGAACCCATGCAGACTGCAGAGGGTGGGTGAGACTGGGCAGTGGGCACTTGCGCATGGGACAGGGCAGCAGGCTCACAGCTCACCTTCTGCCCACCCGCCTTGGCTGTCAAATGCTTCAAAGAACAACCAGGACCAGTAGGTCCCACTGCCCAAGGCCAGCACCTTCTGGCCTTTGCTGCCCTGAAAATCACTGTGGGGGAGCTGGGTGGTGGCACTGTGGAGCTGCCTGCCCTTCCCAGACTTTGGGGCATGGAGTTTTCTCTGGGCCCCCTCCTCCTCCCTTCCTGTGCTCCTCTCGCCCCCGCCTGACCCTGGTCAGGCGCCTGTCAGTCCTGGCTCCACAGCAGAGTCACCCAAGGAGGTTTGAAAAACTGTGGTGCTCCATGGATTGCATCTAAATCTACAGCCAGGGCTGAGGAGGCCACTCGGGCGGCCCAGCTCTTCCCTTCCTGCCGCTCCCCGCCCCGGCTCCACACTCTGCCCCTCCCAGGGTCCTGCTCACGGTAGTGACTCCATCCCTGGGCTTCAGGGCTTCGTGCTGCCCCAGATTCAGGTGGAAATGTGGAGATCACATACAGTTTCCACCTCTGGAAGGAGTAGGGCTCAAGACCCCACAACCAAGAATTACCCCACAGCACGGCAAGTGCTATTCCTGGAGGGCAGACAAGCAGCATGAGAAGAGCTCCAGGCTCTCCCAGGACACTGGGCGTGGGGCAGATGCTCCAGCCTCTCCTCCCTGGCAAAGACCCTCTGAAAGGCTGCCTTGAAAACACAGGATTGAAGGGAATTTGAAATAGGCCACATGCTCCCTCTGGTGGTAACAAGGGGAATTGCGCCTCAGAAAGGGCCTGTGTCAGAGCTGATTCACGGTAAAATCATCCATTCACTTCCCAAACTTGGTTGTTCTTTGTGACTCAGTGCAGGTTTGAATTGTGGGAAATACCCAAGTGAAGTAAAATTTCAGAGATTCCCAGCCCACGTGATTTCCTGGGAAGGGAAGAGAAACGTTCACCAGCACCCTGGCCAGGGCTAGCAATGGCCTCTAGACTAGCCCTGACACAATCACAGACTAGCAGTGGCCTCTAGAATGATGGTTCTTGGCCTTGGCTGTTCTGCAGGGCGGCCTAGGGGCTGGCTGAGCTGTGGCTTTTGTGAACCATGCCCAGGCCTATGTCCCACAGGTTGGAAGGGAACCTTGGGCTGCTGGGGTTCCAAGGGCGAAGGGGGAGGCCTGGCACAGGGCGAGAGAGAGGCTGTGACTCTCAACAAAGCAAGATTCCTTCTCGGTGGGACAGGCTCAAAGGGCCTATGCCTGGAACGTTCTAGAAATATGACTCCTGCTCTTACTGCTTCCTCCTCCAGGAAGCTTTAGCGCCCCCTTCCCCACTCCCTCAGCTGGTGCTGCTCATTCCTGCCCATGTCTCCCGAGCACAAGACCTTCTGCTATCCATGACACCAAATTCTGTTTAGGGTGCAACTGCCGCACTGTATTCAGAGAGCCCATGTCCAGAGCAAGCGGTCAGAGACCTCGGGGCTGAGTGAACGGCCAGGCTGTGCCCCTTGCGGCCCTGGTCTCCCCAGGCTTACTGTTCCCTCAGCCCTCCCGAGCACAGGTGGGCAGAGGGGAGCTCCCACCCCAGCTGTGGTGTCAGCGTAGTGGGAAGAGCCCTCTCAGTGTAGGAAAGTCACTGCCCCTCTCGGGGCCTCAGTTTCTCTTCTGTAAGTGAAATTGATCTATTTTGCTCTCTCAGAGGTGACTGTGCTCAAGCCCTCTGCAGTCACGAGGGTCGGTGGTCCTCGGGGCCTGGGGCAGAGGACAAGACAAAGAGCTTGATTCCCAAGTGGAGTGGTGACCCCCGACACACACTGTGTGTTTTAAACTCCAGCAACTCACTGCCCATTCCCCCCTCCCCTCTTTGGATGCTGGCAGCACCAGGTAGGGAGCCAGACCTCAGGTGGTCCCGTGCTCCAGTCTCCTGAGAGGCCTCTGTGGGAAGGGAAGATGGGCTCCGTCCCCAGCATAGAACCTCCTGGAGAGAGAGCATCCTAAGGGAGGCGGGGCCGTAGACCCGAGACTTGGGCACTGACATCCTGGGCTGAGGTTGCCCTGGGGGGCCCTGCCCGGAGGACGGGCTGGAGCAACGATTCAGTGGTCTCACCTCACCATCCACTCCTGGTACCCAGTCCAGATGGACAAAGCCAGCACCCAAATGGACAGATGGGAGTGAGTCCAGCTGGGGTCCCCTGGCCGCAAGAATACAGACAGGGTGGTCTGATCTTAACCCGCATGTTGGTAGGTTTGGGGTAAAATAGGGAGCTCGTTGCTGAGGTTCAACCCCAGGCCCCACAGAGCCACCCACCCTGGCCTTGCTGTGCACCCGCAGGGACAGCCAAGCGCATGGACGTGGTCACAGGTGGACACAACTTGGTCAGCCCCTGTGGGAGCTCCCAGCTTCCCAGGGCAGCAAGAGGGCCTGGGCCAGAGGCCACAGCACAACCAGTGGGCTTGACTTGGAGTCAGCCAGGGGGAGTGGACTTTTGAGCTTTGCCCGGCATTTAGAAGCCAGGTCAAGGCCTCCGCAGCCGAGATCTCTCCGTTCCGGGCCCGTGGGGAGAAGCGTGCGGACAGCAGCAGTGAGTCTGCATTTACAGGCAGACAGGTGCCGGAGCAATGAACTGGAAAACAGTGAGACCGGGCTGCATCTGTACTCAGAGGGGCGCAGACACAGGTGGAGGAAGAGAGGCGGGTGGGAGGGGAGGAGCCGCGGGGGGAGGAGCCGCGGAGCGAGGAGCCTTGGGGGGAGGAGCCGCGGGCGGCTCCATCCGGGGGTCACACAGCGCCTGGCGCTGCCTTCAGCGCAAGTAGTGGCAGCGTCGGGGACAGAGGTGCACAGCCTGCGGGAGACAGGGCCTCCTTGGCTTCCCAACCAGCCCCGGGCACCGGTGGGCACAGCCGACTCTGGAAAGACAAAAGCAGACCTTGGGCTGGGAGGGGCTGGGCTTGGGAGTTTGGCTTCTTCCCCGTCTGGCTTACATTTTCTGGGGCGCTCTGCAGTCTCCCCACCTCTGCACTGGGCACATGGCCGATCACAGGCAACCCTAAAATTCTTTCTTCCCACCTTGTTGCCCCCCGGGTGCACCCGGAAACGTACCTACTGCTACAGCTCATTTTCACTGATTTGCCTGGGATAAAAGAAAAAGACAGGAGAGGTCAGAGGGAGGGGTAAATCCTGGGTCGCGCAGGTTGGGGCCCTGCCTCATGGCTCCAGAGACAAATGCCAGGCCCGCCCCTCCTTTCCTGGCCTCCCGCCTCAGCCTCAGTGCTTCCCCAGGCAGCACTCACCGACGTGTCTTACTGCCTCCGCAGCGGAATCGTTTGCCTTGAAAAGGGAAAGGAAGCTTCACTTTCACTGGCCACTCCTTTATATTTACGAGCAGAGCCAGGACGACTCAGTGTTTCCAGCCTCTCCTCCCTCCCTCCCTCGCTCCTGCCTGCCGGCATCACCGTGGTATGGGGCTTGGCGCTCACATTTGATTGTTTGTCTCTGTGCAAAGTGCTGTGCTACAAGCATTCCAGAGTCCCAGTCCGTCAGTCAGTCAGACGGTGGATCTGCGGTGGGCCGTAGCATGTTGGGAGTGGCAGCTGAGACTGGCCCTTGTGTACTCACTCCCCCAGTACAGCGCTAGGTACGTTGCTGCTCATACGTGCTTGGAGAAGGATGGCAGTAAGTTGAAAGCTCAAATCCCTGCTTAGGCCCATCTGTCTCCTGCATCTAGGTGTTCAGCTGCTACACAGCGCTACCCTCAGACAGCGGACACCAGGCAGCCGGGGAGACCGACTATCCCTGCAGACAGAAGTCCTCGAAGTGCGTAGCAGGACCCTGGGTGTGTCCGAATTCCAGAACACAGGGTTCAGGACCCACAGTAGCTGGCAGGGTGCCCCCGGGGCTGATCCCAGCGGTGCTCACTTTCGAGGGGGCTTAGCTGAGCCTGGCTCTGCTTCCAGGAGCTGTGGCCCCTGTCAGCCAGGCCCGGCTTTCCACTGTCAAACACTGACATGGTGATCTCCCCAGTGATGCCACAGGCTACATGGGCTAAGGTGTAGCTCAAGCCTAAGGCAAAGCCCAGGTCAGGGTGCGGCCCCGCTCTCACCTTGCCCTTTCCTCTTCCCAAAAGATTCCGGGGCCCTAGAAGCCCACCGGCCTCTTGCCTGCTCTGCTGGTGTCCTGCTGGGGCCGTGGCATGGGGCACCTCAGGAGGGATGCAGCCAGCCCGACTTACTGAGGAGGATGATGAGCCCCACGACGAAGGCCAGGCCAGCAAAGATCAGGCCTCCATTTCGGACGGTCTCATAGTCTGGGGAAAGAGGGACCCAAAGAAGTGGGATGGCGTCGTCTCTCCCTGAAGTCTACCCCGCAGCCGCCCCATGGAAACTGTGAGAGGGAAGGAGGGTACAGCTGCAGAGGCATCAGGACCCCTGCTGGGCAAGGGGGTGGGGAGGAGGGGCTGCAGCTCACCATAGTGGAAGGGGTCCTCCTCGGCCTTGGAGCCGCCACCTGGGGAGAGAGCCAGAGTGGGATGAGGCAGACCTCACAGATCAGCCGGAGTCCAGTCCTGCTCTTCCCAGCTGCCCCCGAGGCCCAAGGCGACAGGGAGACTGGTTAAGAGAAGCCCTGAGACGAGGAGACTAAGACCAGAGCAGGCATCCAGCCCAAGCTGCCCCAGACAGGCCACTTGGAAGCACATCCTGTGCCTCTGGAGCAGGGAGCCACGCAGTCCAAGGGGCTCCTTATAACACAGAGGGGAAAGAGGAGAAGCACAGCTCCACGAGACTAGCACACAGCTAGTCTACTGGGAGAGCCGAGCAAATGTCTGTGAAACCAGTGAATGGATAAAACGGAGCCTTCATGTGCATGGATAAGGAGGAGCAAAAGGCAGCCCAGCTGGCGGCATCCAGAATCAAGGTGGAGGCCTGAGGCAGAGCTGGGGCTTGACTCCTTTCTAGACCCTGCTCGCTTATGTCCCCGTCCATCCGAGGAAGCTCATTTACTTAAGAGACATTACTATGTGGGGCTTGGGCGTGCCAGGCTAAAGCTAGCAGAACATCAGTTCACGTACCCTCTGAGGCACTGATACTGCTCCATATAATCCCCTAGAGGACGGAGGCACAGAGAGGGTGAGTATGCAGCTCACACTTACACAGCAAGTGCAGGGCAGGGCTGGGATTGAGCTCAGGCAGCAGTCTGCTAAGGGTCCGGGCACTGTGCTGCCTTTCAGATGGCAGAAAGGAAGGACAGCTTTCCCATCGAATTTGTTGGCTTCCCCTGGCTTCCTGTGCCTGGCAGACGTCAGTTCTGCCCTGCAGACCCCCAAGCTACACACCTCTGCCCTCAGACAGCTGGGAAGTGGCCTGACAGGAAAAGCTCTAGCCGCCTCCAGAGCTGGCCCTGCCCTGCTCAACCCCCCATGGATGCCAGGGCCACAGTGCCCGGCCAGCAGGAACAGACCCACCGGCAGCTCCCAGGCTGTGCTGGACTGTGCCCCAGGCAGCAGGCAACCTCTGGGCCTGGGGAGCCCTGTTGGCCCCAGTGCCCGTCCCTTGGCCAGGAGCGAGCAGGCCAGCAGGGAGCTGTGCGTGATGTGCTGAGGTACCTGCTGCTCAGCAAGGCAGGGGCAGGGAAGCCCCGGGGACCCAGGCCGCTGTCCTCATGCCGTCCTTCAGGGTTGTCTCCCCACATGCAGCTCAAGTCTCGTTCAAGGTCACACAGGGAGTTAGTGTCAGAGCCGCAGCTAGACCGAAGCTACAACTCCCCTGACCACACCAGGAAGCCGCCTCTGTCCTGGCCACCTTGTCCCAGCCACTGACGCCTCCCCTCACCCCCTACCCTCCTCTCTTTGGGTTCTGGCTGCAAAGCCACCTCCATCAGCAAATGCCCCTGTGGGCCCCGTGTGCCACAGGCCTTTGGAACGTGACCTGACCTTGGAGGGCTCCCCCGTAAAATCCAGCCCGGGAAGGTGACCAGGGGAGCTGCTCCTCTGTCAGCAGGCCCGTCCACCTCCTGCTCCAGGTCAAGTGACATAGCAGGACACCTTGGAGCTGGACAGGTGCGGGCCAGAAAGCTAAGAATGCAGGCTCATCCCTTCCCCTCTACCTGCCCCGAGGTGCTACCATTCCCGCTGCCTTGCTCAGAGGCTAAGGCAGGGCCTCTTTCAAAATGCATATTTTCTTAGAGAGGAGCCTGGCACATGCAGCGGGGTGGGATACCCTGGAAGGCAGGGGAGCAGGAGAAGGAAGAGCAGGGTCCAGGTCACCCCCCAAACACAGCCACCCCAGGCCACACACACACTCACACACACTCACACGCACACACAAACTCACCATCACCCGTGGACAATCCTGCCATTTCTCCCACCGACAGGGCTCGTCTCCACTCCCCTCTTCCTGCTGCCTCTGCCACAGGGTAGCCAGGGACGAGGTCGGGGCATTAAATATTAACAGTGCCAGGTAATATTTACCCTGGTCACAAGAGGAGCCAGGATGTGTATGGAGGGGCTGCGGCTGCCGATGCGCGAGGAGGTGTCCAGAAGGCTGGGGCGGGGAGCTGCGGGCTGGGTGGCCAGCCACGCCCAGAGGAAATTTCCAGGGAAGGCTGGGACGGGCAGCCGTGTATTCTTCTTCACTGGGGAAGCCATGGCTGCGCGTGAGGTGGGGAGGTGGAAGTTTCCAAGTGCTTCATTCAGTAGGCGGCTCTCGGGGCAGTGCAGTGCCCACCTCGCCCACCCCTGCTGTGCCACTGTCACAGCTGATGCTTCTGCATTTGAAGCTTCCTGAGGTGCCTGGCTCCCTCGTCTCCCACTGCAGCCCCAGAACCACCCGAGCGCCCTGGCAGCTTCAGCCCCGGGCCCCTTGGCCCAGGAAGGCCCTGGGTTCTCACCGCCCGTGCAGCCTGGGCTCACGCTCAGCCCTGGCCACAAAGCCTCCAGCCTGTCAGCCAAGCATTCTTTCTCCGCACCCAGGGTATGCGCTTTCCTGAGTTGTCCCTGTTTTCCCGCATCCCCAGTGCCCTGCTGGATCGCTCAGGAAGGGGTCAGGGCAATTCCTGGGACAAAGTTTTGCTTTTATGGTTTACAAAGCAATGTCCTAAGCCAGAATCTCCTGGAGTTTTGCGTTAGCTCCCCATCTGACAGGTGAGTGTCACGGAGCGGTTGTGGAGGTCACACCGCCAGGTAGCAGCAGCGGGGAGATGACAGCCAGGCCTGTGGCTCTAGCTACCTCCCTGGGGAGACCACTCTGCTGTGACCTCCTTCTGCTTGGGGACTCTGGTGTGTGCCCCGTGGGTGGTACTGCATGGTCCCCTTGGAGTTCTGGCCAGTGGAACTGGCCTCCAGAAGAAGCTGGTGTCCAGTGGTAACCAAAGGGCCAAGGCCAGTGGGCAGAGTCCACAGGGGCAGTTTAGTCCTTCTCAAGGGAATCTGCTCCAAGCCACAGCAGGCAGGGATCGACACCTGCTCTTCTTGTGGCCTCTGTCAGGTTACTTACCACTCTGTGACTCAGTCTTCTCACCTGTACAGTGGGTGCAGCTGGTGGGCACAGCACCCACCACCATGGTTATTGACAATGTATGTAAACAGTACAGGGTGCAGCCTGGGCCACAGCACATGTCACTGTTACTACTGTACCTGCGTCGGTGAGAAATAGCAGGCACCAACCTTGGTTTAACGTTACCTGTCGAACACAGAAAAGCCGCCAGCCACCCTCCAGTGAAATGTGCATGAAGGAAGGGAGGGGGAGCCCGGCCCTGCACCCCTGGACCTGCCACTCCCACTCAGCTCCCTTCTGCTTTCGTGCCAAGTGTGTTTCCAAAAATATGACAACGGCGCCAACCTTTAATAAAGGTGAAACATGTGCCAGGCTCCTTGCCTCCTTCCACCCATGGAAGCCATGCTAGTTCCATTCTACAGACAAAGAAACTGAGGCTGATCATTTGCTCTCCTGGAGGGGGCTGTACTGGTTCTCCTGGGCAGACCACAAACCTGAGGGCAGGGAGGTTAAAAGACTCGCCTGGAACACAGTAAGGGAACAAGAGCTGAAGAGCTTGGGTCCCCCACGCTATTGCTACTCTTCACACAAGACAACCATCCCAGTCTACACTCACACAGGTAGGATGCTACAGTAGCAGATTGTCTATATCTATGTGAGCCACCAGGCGTTCTTTTTGGGACAATAAGGGAAGGAAAAAACAGGTAGAAAATTAGACAGATGATAGATGGATAGATGACCAGAAGGTGCTATTATCACCCCCATGTTATAGAGGAAGAAGCAAAGACACAGAAGTGAAGTGACTGCCCAGAGGACAGGCAGCTGGGAAGTAAGGAACCGAGATTTGCAGTCAGCCTGCCTTGAGTTCCTGAAGATGGGTGAATGGACAGACAGATGGACGATGAGGAGGGCGCTGGAAGAGCTATTTCCCTAGCTCCTGGAGCTCGGAGTGCCCTGCAGAAACCACAGCACCCGCACTCTGAGGTGCCTTTGTCCAGACATTCTGCCTCGCTCCTTCTGTGCTTCCAGGGAGCCCGTGGGCACACTTGAAAGCGCAAGGCTGGCCGCCTGTGTCAGAGGCTGGGGAAGCACAGGGCTTGGGGGACTCACCCAGGTGCCATCTGTCCATGGCAGGAGCTGCTGGCTGCGTTCAGGGGTACAAGAGTGCTGTGGAGTGCTGTTGGCTGGGCCTGGTGGGGAAGAGTGATGTTCCCTCCCTCCCTCCAGCCTCAGCTGTGTCCAGACAGGAAGAAACAAGGCCGGGGTGGGGGATGGGGGCTGGCAAGGGAGCGTTACCTGGAGCTGCCTGCCTGGGTGGGTGGGGTGAGGGAACCACGTGAAGCGGGGTGGGATTCTCTGACCTTGGTGTGACACCTGAGGAGGGGCAGCTATGAGCTGCAGCAAAGCAAACAGCAGCCCCTGGGCTGCCCCTCCTCCCCCAGGGTCTCCGTGCTGCGGCCTGGGAAGGTTGTTGGATGGCGCTGGCCAGGAGGGGAGCCAGCAGGTTCAGAGACCTCATGCCCTACCTGGCTCCTGGGCTGGCAGCTGAGTGAGACAGTCAGGGGCACGTGTGTGTGTCCCCTGAGCCTTTACTCAGGGGGACCTGTGCCTTGCTCCTTTGTCCCGATAGATCCTGCTTCAAGGCCTCATTATGCTCCTGAGCCTAGACAGACCGGCAGCAGCCCCTGGATGTGCCCTTGGTGGGGCGGGGATGTTTCTCATCTGGGGCTGAGGATGGAGCACAGGTGGCGGCTTCCTGTGCCTTCTACCAGCTGGGCAGAGATGGGGAAAGGCTGGAGCCCCGGCTGCTCCCATGGTAGCAGGCCCTTCCTCCCTTCCCACCATGCACTTAGCCCTGAGGACCGCCCCAGTTTTGATGTCAGGTCTATTCGCCACCCTCCGAGGACTCAGCCGGAGACAGTGGCCCCTAATGCGGCCCTGGGGGCTGCTGCTTGTTGCTGGAGGGGAACAGCGGAAGGCTGCACTTCTTTTGGTCCCTGGGCAGGAGCCTGGAGCCAACAGGAAGAGTGCCAGGGCAGCCCACCATGCTCCCTCAAAGTCCCTGAGCCCTGGCCACTTCCTCTGGCACAGGGCAAGGCCACAGCAAGAAGTCTCTGTGTGGCTGACTCCGACTGGAGGGTCTCCCTCAGGCTCCCGTGGCTGCCCTGGCATTTCCACCCCAGCGTGGACACTGAATAGCAGGGGCTGGGGCCGGTCACTTGGACAACTGGCTTCTCTGTCCCCCCTGAGTACTTCCTGCCCTAGGAGAGGACTAACAATGCCCCAGGGAGCTGCCTGGGGCCAGGTCATGCTGGGAAGGGAAAACCAGCTGGTTGGCCTGGAGGGGCTGCTCCAGGTGGGTGGCTGCAGCCTATGCTGGAGCCCTGACTACCCATGAGACCGGGATGACCCCGCCCACTGGCCTTGCCACATGTTCCCAGGTGGAAACCTGCACATTCAGACAGCCCAGAGCTGCCAGTGGAAATTCCCCAAGCTGGACACTGGAGATGTGTAGACACCTTAGGGCTAGATGGGACTTTACCAGGCTCCCATCTAGGGTCCAAACATTCTAGGAGTGCTACAGCCAAGTGAAATTCTCTTCTCTGCCCCCCACCTTACAAGTTCTGCAGCCCTTCCCCGAGGCTGGTGCTGTAAAGGGCAGCATCTTGATCTCAAACAAAGACCAAGTTAGAAGCTAACTGGAAAATGGTTCACAATTCTGTCAATCCTCCTGAAGGGAACTAAAGTTGTCTTTGTGTGAACTTGTCTCCAACTTCTGGCCCATCTCTCCACTCCAGCCATACTGGTCCCCTTGATGGCCCCCTATACCCCCAGGCTCACTCCTGCCTCAGGACCTCGGCAGGCACCCATTTTCCTGCTCACAGCCTCCAGAGGTCTGGCTTAGCTCGCGCTGAGCTCAGGTCCTCCTCGGGGACTGATTCAGGCAGCCCTCTGTGGCTTTGCTGTCAAAACCACTCACACTGCCTCCCGCCACACCTCAACCCCCTCCTCAAAGCTTTTGGCTTTCTCTGTAGCATTTAGTACCACTATCTGACAGGTCAAATATTTTCCTTATTTTATTTGCCTTTCTCCCAGCAGGAAGATCCGCTCCAGGAAAGCAAGAACTCTGTCTCCATTCATTCCTGTATCCCCACCGGGCCGGGGATGGCCCACAGTGACCCCCCACTTTGTTAAGTGAATGACTCTGTCCCAGAGAGGTGATGTCATTGTCAGTGGCACAAGTGAACCCAGAGCTAGCCTAAAGTAACAGTCTTTCCATGCCATCACCTGCCCACAGTAGGTAACTGGGCCTTGGCAGGCACCCCTGTCACCCATGGTCCACGTTTCCCTGAGCACAGTCTGAGGCAATGTCTCCTTCTCTGGATCTCTGAGCGCAATGGCCTGGTTTGCCCTCCCGGAGAGGCGGCAGGTGATCAGGTCCCCCTCCTTGCTCCCCTAGCGTGGGTCCCAGGGCTTTTCTCTCACTCCTCTTGTACGTCATTTCTACCTATCCACCCCTAGCCCTGTGCTCCTCCCCAGCCCTGGAAGCCAGGACGGCGTTGTAGAGGTCCCACCCCATCCCTCACTCACGCCCAAGTCATTCCTGTCTTCTTCCTTGTCCTTCCCCAGGGTACTGAGGCCATCATCAGCTCCTAGCTGGCACTGGGACAAGGAAGTCCTGTTTGAGACACACTGCTCTCCTGCAGAACGGCCTTGGCCTCTGTCACCCATGGCTCATGTTTACCTGAGCAGTCTGAGGCAGTGTGTCTTTCTCTGGGTCTCTAAGCGCAATGGCACCCTGATGGCCAGACTACCTGGACTCAAATCCCTTTCCACCCTCATCCTTCCCTTGCACTGCACGGCCCGAGGAAGAACACCCCTCCAAGGCCATCCTGCCGTCTATGAAGTGAAATGAGAGCACCTACCTCGCAGGACTGCTGGCCAAAGATCCTAACAAAGGGCAGCTTTGTTCTCCTCACCTCACGCTGGGTGCCCAGGCTACACGATGCTCACTGCAATCCCTTCACTTGGTTCAGGCCCCAGGGACTGATCTTTGAAGCCAGCTCTCTGTGAGCCTCTTCGCTCCCTGACCTTCCAGCAGGACCTCTGCCAGCCACTGTCCCCAGCTGCCCCTCCCCTAAACAAACCAAGCATCACAGCCTTTCTCTGCTGGGGTCTGGCCTCCATTCTTGTTCTTCCAGTCTTTGCTCGGGGGAGGCTAGCTGGCGCAGAAACACTGCTCTGCTGTTCCAGAAAGGCCACAGGGCAGGTGGAGGCCCAAGACCTCCTTCTTTGTCTGGTTGTTCTGGGACAAAGTCACAGAGGAGCATCCACCTGTGCCTGGTGTGCCCTTCAGGACCCAGAGCTACGAGGTTTTAGAAGGAAGAGAGAGAGTCCCTACTCCTGGATGGGTTTCATCACTGTCACCCAATGGGACAGTGCCCTCAGCTGCTGTGCCTCAGTCTCCTGTCTCCTCCAGGAAGGCCTTCCTTTGTCTCCTGACTCTTGTACTTCGGAGGAACCTGGGGGGGTCCTTGGGTTTGTGGGGTGGGGAGTTAACAGGCTGGGACATTCACCTGACCTTTGTCGCCCTGGTGCTCAAAGGAAGCACTAGCAAAGAGACCCTCACCTTCCACTTTCGCAGGATGGGACTCTCCAACCCCATCAGCACAGGGCTTTGCAGGGGCTTCAGGTCAGCATCCAGAGCCTTGGACTTCAGGCCTCCAAATCACTTCCTCTAGGTGTTTGCTTGCAGCTGTAAAGGCGCTTTGATGAGGCAGAGGCCAGAACCTCTTAAAAAGCCCTGGTCCCTGGTTCGGGTCCATCCCCAGCTGCATGGCATGCGAAGGCACTGAGCAGCCCTTTCTACACCACCCAGAGAGGAACCCTGAGTGCTGGCTCCTGTCTCCTGCTGTGGCCATAGATGCCAGGTCACTGGGGTCTTATAAGGCTGGTCTGGGAGGAGGTGGGCCCTGGTGGGTCCATTCCTTAAGTGGTGGCTTCAGGATGGCCCAAGCTGTAGGGCACAGAGGTCCTGGGAGCTGCCGAAGGGCAATGTGCTCTAAGAGTCAAAGTCACCAGCTGGTGACAAGGGCAAATCCATTTCATCCACCTCTCCCACAATGAACACCCTGGAGAAAAATACATTCCTGGCTTTCTCAGAACACACGTCCGGTCTTGCCTGGGAACAGGGAACAGGGAACAGAGCCTGTTTCTCCGCAGCTGCTGCCCTATACTTCAGTAACCACACCCCTCCGGCAGCTGTGAGCAGCCAGTCCAGGCCCTCTGCCTCCAGGAAGACCTCCGCAGCAGCCCACCCGTGCTGCCTCCCACCCCAGATGTCTCTGGGATTCCACTGATGTGGCTCAAATGGGCTTCCAGTGGCTTTGTGGTCTTGACAAATGGCAAGGTCCTCCAGGCCTCTAGAGGACTCAGACCACGGTATCTATTCGGTGTTTACGTCTTCATGGAACCTGGAGCCCAGGCCTCCTCACCTGGCAGCAATCCTGTCCACTTGATGGTTTTGCAGCGTTCCAAAATCCGATTTGCTCCTCCCAACAACTCGACCAGGCAGGCTTTGTGACCCTGATTTTACAGAAGGGAGAAGTGCAGACGGGATGCGGACAGGTCAGAGTTTGACCCCAGATCTCAGAGCCAGAGGGGTCCCTGCCCTCAGAGAAAGAGGTGGTAGGAATGGACCGTGATGCCAACATCGGTAGCATAAGGTCCACAGGTAGAACTTTCAAAGTGCACTATGTCCATTGCATTCATTTGACCCAGGGAAAAACAGGAAGCTACTGATGAATCCATTTCATAGTTGGGGACACTTAGGCTCGGAGCTTCCCGGGGGTCACATGGTTAGCAGGAGGCCCTGCTCACACTATGGAAGAAGGACTTCGTGTGCAAGAAGGAAACCAACAGAGAGGCTGGGGCCTGCTGAGCTCACGCAGCTAGAGCGAAGGCAGGTACAAGGGCTCAGAGGCAGGGACCCAGCCCCTCCAGGCCTGCTGCTTTGAATCCTTCAGGACATCCAACCAAAGCATCACCTGGCCTGCCATCGCTGCCTTGGCAGGTGCCTACTGTTGCACAATCAGCCCGGGGACTGGGGCTGGCTCCATAAAACCAGCAGGCGGTTGGCTTGAACTGGCTGATTTTCCCCCACCTCCCCACTCTGGCTGTGGCTGCAATGAATCACACTAATGTTGAGAGGTGGCAAGTCCTCCTCTTTGTGCCCTGGAGCCAGGTATTTCCAAAGCTGCTCCCCCGACTCACGCAAACACACCTGCCCCCTTTCTCTCAGTGGGGCTGGGGTAAGGCAGAGCAGCAGGGACAAGGTGGGGCAAACCAGACAGAGCTGGCGAGCTCTCCCACACCTGCCCTGCCCAGCCATTCTGCCAGCCCATGGTCCTGGGGGAGGGGACAAGCGCCCGGCGACCTTGGGAGTGTGCTTCAGCTTGGTATCCCTCTTCCCACCCCTGCTGCTTGTACTTCGCCTCTCTCTCCCCAGAACAGTTTGGCAAGTTCTAATCTACAATATGAAAAAAATAAAGCGAACCCCCCAAACAAAAACCAGAGAGGAGGGAGAGCCACTGCACCTGGAGGCCCAGAAGGTAGGCGGATCGACCTTTACCACGGTGTGCGGCAGTCATGAACGCCTCCATGCAAACAGACTTGAACATCTCTGGGGTCATTCATGGGAGGCAGGGGAGCAGCCGGGAGGTGAAATCTGCAGGACCTCTGAGGTCACTGCTGCAGGCTTAGCAAGCCCTTTGGGAAAGGGCAAGGCATAGCCCATTCAAGCAAAGTATATCTGCTACATTAAACCAAATCACGAACAGAAAGAAGTGTCAGATAGAGTGTCACATGCTCGGAGGCTGAGTGCACCTGGGGCCGCCTTCCTGGAGTTTCAGCACTCCGGGAAGTGAGCTGGGAATGAGTTTATCCATGTGAAGTCTTTGGCCTAGCACATGGAAGTGCTGGATGAATGTCAGCTGCTGTCACTACTATTACCATGCTGACTGTTATTTTGTTTCTCATGTGTCTTATTTCCAGGCCACTCGCTTCCTCTAGGAGGCTGCCTGGAGCAGTCTGGCTAGTTTATGCTCCGAAGGGACAGTTATGCTCCACAGAGGCCATGCCATCCAGCAGGTCCTTGCCCTTCACCTGAACGTCAGCTTTGTCCAGGAAGGCTGGGCAGGTGATGTGTCTCATAATGCCCTGTGGACAGCCTGGTCCATCCAGCTTCTGTGCCCACTGGCTGTGTGACTGGGACCAGTCTCAAACATATCAGAGAATCTGTGAAATGGCACTGTCCTGCTATGTCAGAATGAAGCTGAGATAAGAGGAAAACTAGGTGGGTACTTAGACTTTGGCAAAGTCAGGATAACCATTTTGCACATACGCTAAACTGGCAATTATCACTCCGTTACTAGAGCAATGGAGCCCCCAACTTCCCTATACTTGATGTTTTGTTTTTAACACCTAGGAGATGTACCTACGATCTTCTCCGTTTCTGGGGCCTCTAAGGGTCTCAGTCTCCTGCGTTGAGGCCCACAAATTCCTTGACACAGTGAATGCTCCACGAGTGACGTTCATCAGCCTATTTACCAACCCTTGATCACACATGAGAATTTTTCTAACTGCCATGATCACTGGGTTGACCATGTTGAGCTGGATCTCAGCATTAAATCTGTCTTTTCAGAGGTCCAGGGGATGGAGGCAGAGGTGAGAACAGGAGTGGGAAAGGTCCCAAGCAGGTCCAGGGTGGTCAGGAAATGGCTGGACCTGGCCAGGTTCTTCAGACCTGAGCCCCACAGTTCTGAGACTCCAACGGGGTTGCAGGATCCAGGCAGGGGTTATGCAGGTCTCTTTTGAGACCCTGAGATGTGCCCGGCATTCTCATGTTAGATGTGATGTACTCCTTGCCCTCGAGGAATTGTGTCTCACCACAGATACCCAAAAGGCTAGGTGAGGGCTGCACACAACCGACCTCCAGGCAGAATCTCCCCACAACTGTGTTTATTTGGCCAATGGTACTTTTTAAAAAGCAGTATTCAAATATTTGAGGGAGGGTGCTTCAGGTGACACTTAGGCCCCTCTGCCCTTTACAGGGGGATCACAGCAACATAACCTGCCTGGTCTGTGCAGTTTGGATCCGACAAAGCATTATGTGTGAAAACAATGGCAGGAACCAAGTGTGATCAGAGCACTGGAAGAAAGGGACACCTTCCACCTGCGTCCAGGAAGGTTGCCCAGAGGAGGGGGCATCTGAGTGGGGAGAATGCAGGGTAATGCTCTAAGCATAGCCCAAGGAACCCACACGCGCCCTCCCTTTCCAGTCCTTAGGTAATGGCCCCAGACCTGACCAATGAGAAAAGCTGGGACGTTTGACTCCAGGCTAGTGAGCACTTAAGTCAAGCCACTGTCACCTTGTTTTAAGTACAAATGTACGGGTTCTGCTGAGGGAGGAAGCCCGAGTCTAGGGACCGAGGGAGGAGACTGGGGAAGAAGAGCAGGATGGAGCAGGGACAAGAAAGAGGCATGGGGTAGAGGAAGGAGCAGAAGGAGAGGCAGAAATGGCGGTGTGGGAGGAGGAGCCACTTAGGAGAGCAGCTGAAATAAATATACTCTCCTCTGGCGGCTCTCCAGCCCTCTCTTCCTCCAAGTGCCAAAGGCCTTACAAATACTCAAGTTCCTTTAGAGAAAGAAAAGCACCTCTGAGCCACTAGGAAACAATGATGTTTTATTTCTTTTCTGTTGTTGGAGAGAGGATAGATCACAAGACAGGCAGCAGCAGTCCTGGTCACACGGCAAGGTTTGGTTAGTTTCCATGGGAACACAATGGACAGGTGGAGCGGGATCTGGCTGGACTTCCCCCTCTCTCATGACCTTCAACTCCTTGCTGTTGATCTGCAGCAGGGCCACACGAAACCCTGCTGGCCTCTGATCGGCCGCACAACCACTGCTCACACATAACTCACCACTCTGACCACTGACTGAGACGGGCAGGAAGCGGGCAAGAGCTGTTGCCACTGCCTGGCCAGCGGGACACAGGCGGAGAAGCAGAGTTCCTCCTGCTCTCCTGGCTGCCCATCCCTGCGTGCTGACCGCAATAGAATGGGAACCCCTCAGCCATCCACTTCCAGGGACTCAACTTCAGAGATGGGAGACTGAGTCTGGGTGAGCAAAGCTACAGATGGACATCTTGGAAGCAGGGAAGGTGGGGGAGGGCAGGAGCGTTCCAGAGCCCATGGGGTTATTGCTGAGAAGATATGCAAGGGGCACATTCCCATGGGGCAGAGTAAAAGCCCTGGGCCTGGACTTCCTGGGTGCTCTGCAAAGGGGCAGGGCAGGTAGAGATTCCATGGAAGCCCCAAGAAGAAAAAGAAATGTGGCCAGGCAGAGCCTGCTTGACAGCAACACTGGGCTCCCCAGCGCCTTCTCTGCGCCTCCAGTTGCTGAGCCTTCCGAACAGATTGGGTCAGGATGGAAGACAAAAGCGGGGCTCTTGTGAGAAGACTACAGAGGGTCCGTGAAAGGCCATGAGGATGCGGATGCAAACCTCCCCAGTCCCAAGAGAGGTGGGGATTCCTACCCTACCCTCATCCGGAAATCAAGACAGGGGCAGGTCTCTCAGAGCAGACTCCGGGAAGCGGGACGCGATGGAGGCCCCCAGGGAGGCGGGGAGGAGCCGAAGGCAACTGGGCACAGCTCCTGCCCAGGAAAGTGAATCCACAGCTCACAAATGCAATGCTGTCCACAAACAAGTAGCCACAAAGATCACAGTCATCATATACACACGCACACATACACACACGCACGTACAGACACAGCACAGGCGGTGACGAGACTGCAGGCTGCGGGCAGGGAAGGCCGGCGTGAGTTGCATCGAGGAGCGGAGAACTGGGGTTGGCGGGGACGGGGAAGGGCGCAGGGGACACATGAGTCGTTGGCTTCTCCTGGGGAAAGATCTGTGGCTGAAGTGGCCAGTTTTCTTAGCGATATCTGCGTCTAAAGGTTGCAGAAGTTGCCCTCAGGCGCTTGAGGCTGAGGAGAGAAAGAATTTAAATAAAAACGAAGCTCTGGCTGCTGTGAGAGTCTTTATCTGCTCTCTCCTTCAGCCCAACCACGCTGCCCACTGAAATTCCTGGGTTAACATCCCTTCAAAGCCCCGGTCCGGAGGCTGCAAGGGCCACAGGGGTGAGAGGCACAGAATGGAGACACAGGCCTGGGAGGGTGGGCGCCATGGGGAGGGCTCCCTCTCCCCTGTCAGCTGTACCTGGATAACCTCGTCAGTCGCTCACAGGCCTGGACTTAGGAGAAAGGGGCTTTTGAGAAAGACTTAGTTTAAGAAAAAGACACTCCTTTTGGAGGCTGCTTCTGCTGAGCCTTCTGAAGCCACTCCACGCTCTCAGTGTACCCTGACAGCTACAGTGGGGTGGACAGAACATGGAGCCACCAGGCAGACACCTGCCTCCCGGTGGGGTCCTGTGACCCCACCAGCTTGGGTGGTCACTTGCCTTGAAGAACCCCATCCCAAAGGAGGGGCTATATGAGCCTTGCTCCGCCCACGTGTGGGGAGGCTGTCACGAGGGCGTATATGCTCTCAGGAAGGAACTGGGACGCTACACAGGCACACTTCGTTACTGCCACCACGGAGAAAGCTGTCCACGCTGGTGGACCAGCGCCTCATCATGCTGAGACCTCCTTTAACGTACGATGTAGGATAAAGTAACACAATATCTTATTTGAGCTGATAAAAGACTGAATTTTGGCCCTAATACATTCCAGGGTCTGCCCTAAGGAATAAAGATAGGACAGAGTGTAGTGGGATGGCACTAACCTATAGTTAAGTCACAGAGACCTGTATTCAGGTTGATCCTGTAACCTACTCAACTGAACAGCTATTTTCCCCCACCTCAAAATAGGTTGCAGCTTCATCTATGTGATTTTTGGCCGGCAGGCTCCAGGGATTCTCGTTTGACCGCACTCTGGAGACCAGTCCTCACTATGCACTCACCTACACTCTTAAGGGTGGATGCTAAACAGTGCCCCCAAGTGTTGAGAAGTGGTAATGGTCTCAGGAGTGGGGACATCATTTATCATTAGCCCTCACTTTTGAACAAGGTTGGAAAGATCATAATTTTTTTTTTTTAAACAAAAAAGGCTGTAAGCTGCTTTCCAATTCATCATCCTTCTGCGATCTGATGGAGGGAGTATTTCCTTAACTCTAATTCCCTCCCAAGCCACGCCTGTGGAGCGGCTGGAATAGCAACCTATAAGCCTGAGCCTTAGGCTGGGTGGAATGAATTCTGGACACTCACTGTGACATTTTGCTGCTTCTGGGGCTGTGTTCTATTGTCCCTCTCATACCTCCGAAGGCCTCCTCAGAGCAGAGCTCATAATAAAGCTGCACCCCCTGCAGCCCAGGACTTCCCACCTGATGCCCCGCCCAGGTTCAATGACAGTGACAGGACAATGCAAGACCCTGTCACAGAGCAGCTCACCTTCTCTGGAGGCTGCACTTCAGTTCTCTGCTTTCTGGGGCTCCGCTGCTGAAAGAAAACCAGAACAGACACAGTTACGGACCCCTCACCCAGGGGCCAACCCATGCCGCAGCCGACCTGTATGGGACCCAGGAGACTTCAAACCACACAGGCATGGGTACAAATCTATGCCTGCTACTTGCTGGTTACAGGAACCTGGGCTCTGGGTCTCAGTGATAAGACGTGAGTAATGAAGCCTGCCTCACGGGCCAGTACACCTGGATGATATGGGGTCTGTCCCCGACACAAAGCAGACGCTCTAGAGAGTCTCACTTATAGTGGCCTGTCTGGTGCAGGTGAGCGGCAACCCCGCAGGCACCCCGGACAGCCCTCCCCCAGCACGATGGGAGCCCGTCTGGTGAGCCCTAAGGAGGCCATGGCCCCTCACAGCAGCCCCTCCCTGACACACACGAAGGCCCTCTCTGCCCTCTCTGCTTCATCTGGCTGGTTACCATTTGCAGTGATGAGGTTCTCCCCTTGGGCTTCCTCGTCCCCTGGAGCCCTGTAAGAGAAGGACACAGCCTGCCAGAGGTCTCCAGGGCAAACTCAGTGTCACCACGCTCCTGGTTGGAGCAGGGACATCTGGGATCTGTCCCCTCCAAATCCTCTAAGGGGCTCAAGCCTATCTACCCTGGGGCACTGCTGGATGAGGGAAAAGTTGGGATGAAGGGGACAGGGAACTCCTAGGCACCTCTTAGTCAGCCTCCAAGGTAACTAAGAACTGGGAAGGTGACCTAGGGACATGTGGGGGCCTGCATGTGCCCTGCCACAGGATTTGGGCTTTCTAGGTTGGAAGCCACTCCTGGCTACTGTGGTGGGTTAATGCGGGGGTGACTGGATGGGGAACAGAAAGAGAGGCCAAGTGTCTGCTCAGCTCAAAGAGCCCCACACAGCTGAGGCGCAAGGACGGTATCTCAGGCTCTGTAGAGACAATCTGAACCTCAAGAGAGGTCACAGACCCTCTGCTTCCCATCTCCCAAGCCCAGCTGTGTCAAGAGTCCAGACAAAAGTCCCAGCTTCTTCTCGCCCACCTCCCCTGCTCCCTTTTGCACCAAAGCCTGCCCTCAGCGTTCTGACCTCCCCGCTGCCCCAGTCTCCTGACAGTCCTCAAGTTCACAGCCGTACCCCTATTTCCCACCCATGTACACACGTTCTTTCTCAGACAAGAAGCCAAGAAATGTGTAAGAATGCTCACTAAGGTCACACGCCAGAAGCCCCTCCCTGATCCTCCTAATGTCACCCCAGGTAGCCATAGCCACGTTACTCTTACCGGGGCTTCTGATTGAAACTGCACTTGCACCTGCGACCTAAAAAGCAAAGAGAAACGATCAAGGTCACAGTCCCAGCATAAGCTCAAGGTCATGCACCTGCCTGGCCACAGGAGGGCTGCTCTGAGTCTGCAGCTGGAGGGACTGGGTAACCGGCACCCATGCCTGGCTTTATATAGTGACCGCAGGTTGCAGTAGGGTCTGAGCCCAGGGTGGCACATTCAACAGCTGGGATGGCTACATCAGTACAGTGCGCTTGACCACGCACACGCAAGAGCCATGGGCAGACCAGGCCCCTGTGTGGAAAACAGACGCAGGGGCACATCCCTCGGAGCACAGTGGGGACAGCACCCGTCCCCTCTCTCTGTGACTGTCCTGCTCATGCCCTATGAACACAGGACTGGGAGAACAACCCTGCCTGTTCTTATCTATGCTCATTTTCTCTACGTTTTCCTCCTCATGTTCCATTATTTTTCCAAGCATTTACCATGCGCTCAGCTGTGTTAGGTTCTGGAGATAATACAGGACAGACAGTCCCCTTCCCCCTCCCAGAGACAGAATGGCCAGACTGCCCCCACCTACTTAGGAATCACTGTGAACAAGGAACCAACAAACTTACTCAGAATAAGGAGGATCCCAACAGAGAAGAGGACCACAGCGAACACCAGTCCACCAATCCTCAGGGTCTGGTAGTCTGCCAAAGGAACCAGGGGTGAGCTACGGAAGCAGGGCAGGGCTAAGAGGCTGTGTCCATCCCTCCTTGCACAGGGCTGCACCCCAATCCGCTATCCCCTGTACCCAGGGTTGCCGAGGCTCCTTACCATAATGAAAAGGGTCCGTTTCTTTCTCCTGCTCAGTTGCTGCAAAAGTAAATAGTTTGGTCAGGAGGAAGACAGCTGTACATCCTGAAATAGCTCACCTGACCTCCCCGATATCTCAGTACCCACAAAGGGATTCCCAGGACATACTGGAAATGCACAGAAGGGCAGGCCTGCAGGCTAAGGGGCCTGCATTCACAGCACACCCACATTTAGTGCATTACCCCAAAAAGGCAGGTCTGTCATCCTCTAACAAGTGGGGAAACTGAGGCCAGGAAAGGACTCATGACTTGCATAAAGCCAGAAGTAGCTACTTATGGTCTAGTCATTGCTATGCAGCGAGTTCCAAGATTTAGGCTGAAAGTCCACAAGGGCCAGAACCTTCTACTAGAAAGGGCTGAGGCTGTCATCATCCTACTTACCACTGGCCAGGACTGCAGGGACCAGCAGGCTGCAGAGGAAGATCAGCACCACCTCCATCATGTCTAGGGACAGAAGGAGGAAGTTATTATTTGCTGGGCAGGAATCACACCTCCACACCCCAAACCATCAGCCCGGCTGGGGCAAGTCAAACCCTTAGCTCTACCGAGCAGGGGGAACATTCAAACCACTCACAGTGAAGCAGCTCGCATTTACCAGACTCTTAAAGAGTGCTCCAAGGGCATTAACTCAACTAATAGGACCAAATTAGGGCAACTGGCAGGCCCTGTGACTATGCCATGTCACAGGCCAAGAACCTGAAGCTCACAGAGGATCCATGACACAGTAAGCTTCAGGGCTGAGAGCTCAGAGCAGCCCAGGAACTCCTGTGTCAGTTTCTAGGGCCAAAGCCATAAGAGCATCAGGATTTTGTTATGACCCATGTCCTTCTCTCTGGGTCTTCTTTCTGTGCCCATCTCAGTTCCTGGTTCAGTTCTCACAGCCAATAACCTGTCAGAAATTCTCCTTTATATCAGATGGGGGGTGGGTGGTAAAGCAACGCCCACCCAGTCCAGCCAGCAGTGGGGAGAGACACTGGATGGTCACTTTCTCTCTGCAAACCCTGACAGAGGCAGGTCCTCGAAGCCGGCCCTCACATTCTGAAGCAGCCAGGTCAACTCTTCCCAGAGGCTTCAATTCAAAGGCGACTTGATTAAACAAAGGGAATTTGGAAACGGTTTCTAGCATCAGCCTCCAAGTGTCCTCCAGGATGGGCCTTCTGGTTCACCCAGGAAGAGCCGGAAGGCCTTCTGGTTCACCCAGGGACAGGTCTGGGTGGAGTTGCACTCCTCACTGCTGGGCTGACATGACAGTGGTACAGAGCCAACAAAAAGGGAAGAAAACCTAGATCAGGAATGCCCAAGTCTCCTTCCCACATGGGGTGAGACTGGATAAAGGTTGAGCCCCTGGGTAACTGCTAGTGGCCTAGTGGGTATGTGGTCTGAGCATGGGAATTTCCTGTGACTTTCTCTGAGCCCAGAGCACCCCACCCCACTGCTTTTCACCTCCTAGCCACCAGGGGTCAGTACAACTGCATCCAGAGCCGCACAGAAGCTGGGACTCCACGGGGATTCAAAATGTCTGTATCAGAAGGTCTGAGGGCTGTCTTACTTTAGAATTATTTGTCTCTTCAAGTTTACATTATTTATTGTATGTACAGAAATACGTAGCACACAGGTCATGAAGCACAGTAGGAAGACAAACACCTATAAATAACTAAAAACCTAGAACGTTACAAATACTGCATTTATTTGTATTTTTCTCCAACCCATTCCCTGCTGCTGATTCCCAGAGGTAATCAGTGTCCTGACCACATATAATTTTAATCATTCCTTTGCTCTTTTTTTAAAGCTTGCTAGCCAACTGGTATGCATTCTCAGATGTGCAAACTGCGTTAGTTCTAGAGACCTACTGCAACACAACACTGTCCCTACAGTTAACAGTTACTGTACACCTAGAAATACGTTAGAGGGTAGATCTCATGCCATGTGTTCTTACCACAATCTAGTTCTTAACCACTTTCTAGTTCCTGAACATTTCTAGCACCTATCTAGCAGCTATCTCTGGTATCAGACTGACTGCATGTTATCACAGTGCTTGTGTTCTAGTAATCTTTTTTTTTTTTAAACTTAATAATGGCCCCAGAGCACCAGATCCTAGAAACTCTGTACCTATTAGCAGTCCCTCTTCATCCACCCCCCCAGGGGGGGGGGAAGCTGACAGCCATTACTCTACATTCTGTCTCTGGATTTGCCAATGTTGGATATTTCATATGAAAACAATCATAACATCTGTGGCCTTTTGTATCTGGCATTCACACAGTATGTTCTGAAGGTTCATCTATATGATAGCAAGCTTTGTTTCTTTTTATAGCTTAAAAATATTCCACTGTCACGCCAGGAATGGTGGCTCATGCCTACAATTCCAGCACGTGGGAGGCTGAAACAGGAGGGTCACTGTGAGTTTGAGAACAGCCTGGGCTACACAGTGAGTTCAGGGCTGGCCAAAACTTCATGCAAGATCCTGTCTCAAAAAAAAAAAAAACAAATTCACTCTATGAATATATACCGTATCTTGCTCTACCTTTTAAAAATATACTTGACACATACATGTACCTAAATAATATACTGCTTAGCATAGCTTTTTTGGCGATTTATAACTATGACACCATGTTCACAGCCTTCTGGGAATTATATTTTGCTCAATATTATGTTTCTAAGATCTATTTATATTAATACATATAACCACAGTTCATTCATTTTTAATGTTCTATAATATCCCACTGTGCAGGTATTGATCCATTCTCCTGTCAGTGGACATGCAGTGTCTTTTTTCCCCCTATTTATTGCTATTATAAATAATACATTTTATGTATGTTGCCCAAGGCACACATCCAAGAACTCAGGGCACTGTTTTCAATTCTCTTGAGAACTTCTCTCATAAGAAATCCATTTTATATTACAACCCAACACAAACACATATTCATCTATACCAGAACCACTTCACCATGCAATGATGGGTCACTCTGCAGTTCGAAAAATAATGTTCTAGAGATAAGCGTAGGAGTGAAGTCATTTGTTGGGCTGTATGTTATGCAAAGCATTGTCAACAATAATTTAAAATTATTTTCCAAAGTGCTTACCCTATTTTCCAAAGTGCTTACTACTTTACAGCCTTATCAATAGTTGATATTGTCAGATATCTTTATTATTCTCAATCTAGAGGGATAAAGTAAGGTCTTAAATTGATTATTTAATAATTGATTTGGGCTTCTGAGTGCTTATCTGCCATTCCTGTTTCTTTATTGATCATGCATCTTTCATGCCTGTCCACTTTTCAAATAGGTTGACTCTTCCTCTGATTACTTTTATAATCTGGGTACTGAACCTCTACCATTAAATATTACAAATATCTCATTTCTAGCAGCTTGTCTTTTCACTTTTTTGATTGTCTTTCAATGAAGAGAATTTCTTAATTCTAATGTAACTGAATGGAATGAGTTTTGTGTTTTATTTAAGATATTCTTTCTTACCCTCAGGTCAGTAACAATTTTCTTCTAAAAAGTTAAAGCCTTTTCTTTTACATTTAAACCTTTATTCAATCCAGAGTTGATATTTGTATGGAACTTGATGTAGGGGTCTAAGTGTTACTTTGCCCCATGCTGCTAAGCAGATGTCCAGGCACCGTTTGCTGACCACCTCCCTTCCTCACGATGTACCACACCACTTTTACCACATCTCCAGTTTCCATTCAGCTTTGTGTTCTGGGCTTTTGCTTTGGACACAGCAGTCAATTTTTCTGTACAGTAGCTCCCCCTCGTCCCTGGTTTAATTTTCCACAGACTCAGTTACCTGCAGTCAATTATGGTCTGAAACCACTGAATGGAAAAAACAGAAATGAATGACTCATAAATTATATACTGCACCCAGTTCTAAGCAGCACGATGAAATCTCTTGCAGCTCCACATCCTGGATGTGAGTTATCCCTTAGTGCACTGTATCCACACTGTATTTAGTACCTGCGCATTAGTCACTTAAAAGCTATCTCTGGTATCAGATTGACTGCATGTTATCACAGTGCTTGTGCTCAGTTAACCTTTTTTTAAAACTTAATAATGGCCCCAAAGTGCAACAGCAGTGATGGGAAAAGGAAAAAAAGCAAAAGTACAGTATTTTGAGAGTGTTACGGTTTGTGTCTAGATGGCCCCCCAAAGCCTCATGCAGTCATGGGGTGGGCTTCTAGAGGTTTTAACTGATCCATGGTCCAATGCTGGTATTCTGGGTGTGGCAGTTTGCATACACTATAAGGAAAGGAGAGAGGCTTGCTCCTCCCCTCCTCCTCCCTTTTTTGCTCTTGCTGCTTTTGCTGTTTTCTGCTTCCATGAACTGTTGCCCTCTGCCATGTGCCACTTTGCCTTGAAGCCAGCTGAGTATGGACTGAAACCTCCACAAACTGCGAGCTAAATGAACCTTTCCTTCCCTAACTTTGGGTGTTGGGTATTTTGTCCCAGCAATGAGAGAAAAGGAACCAAGGCAGAGACAGACATATACATAGCTATTACAGTATAGTTATAATTGCTTTATCATTATTGTTAATGTTACTCTGCCTAATTGAACTAAAACCTTACCATGGGTCTGTATGTATGAATAGGGAAAACAGCCTATACAGGGCTCAGTGCTATCTGGTTTGATACACTGGATATCTTCTGGGGCCTTGGGACGTTTCCCTGTGGATAGAAGGGGACTACTGAGCTTGTATTAAAGTCACAGTATCGTTGTCTCAATTTCTACAGCTTAATAGTAATCCTGCCATGAGGTAGAAGCTCCCATCTTTTTTTTCCTCTTTCTTCAGAAATGTATTCATTATTCTTGGGCTTTTGCTCTTATAAATGTTTGAATCTGCCGGTTGAAATCATCTAATACCAATGGGATTTTCATGAGAATTGCCATCAGTCTATCTACTGAACATGTGAAAAACTGACATTTCTGATCTCAAGTCTGCTGGCTATCAAGAAATGTCTTCAGTATTTTAAAGGAACTTTTCAATGTTCTCTAAGTTTTAGAACTGCTTTTATATAGGTCTTGCACATCTTCTGTTGATTCATTCACAAGTATCTTATCATTTGTATTGTGATTTTAAATATTACCTTATGTTTCCTAATTTTGCCAGTAAAGAGAAAAGCAATTAATTTGTATATATTCTTGAATCCAATAATCTTATTAAACTCTCATTTCTAATAATTTACCTATAGATATCTTTGGATTTTCTCTAGACATATCATCTGTAAACGACACAGCATTATTTCTTCTTGTAAATTATTATTATTTTTTTTTTTTGGTTTTGGTTTTTCTCCGGTACCGGGAACCGAACTCACGACCTTGCGCTTGCCAGGCAGGCGCTTTTGCCGCTGAGCTAAATCCCCAGCCCCTCTTGTAAATTATTAAACTGTTTATTTGTATTTCTTGTCTTAGTGCCTTAGTGCACTGGCTAAGACTTCAAGTGAAAC